TGCCCGCGGGGAGGCAGCGGGGATGGGCTCATGTCCATCTCCCTTCCATGGCCCCCACAACGGACACCCCGGGGCCTTGAGGTCGCGCAAGTGGCCACAGCCAACACCCAGAAACAGGGGAATGATGCTGTGCGCACAGGAACAACCTGTAGGAACTCCAAATTAAATTACATATTAAAAAACCCATAAACTATAAAAAATGGCCCCCAACCCCAGCAGACTTCCAGGTCTGGCGCTGCCCCAAGAGTCCGGGACCCTTCTTGCCCCCCCAGTGCTGCTCTCTTGCTCTTTTTTCCCCTCTCCCGCTACGCCCGGCCTCCAGAGCTCCTTAATCTATTTATTTCGAGCCACTTCATCCTCCGGGGCGCTTTTGTGCTGGCCCCGGCCTCCAGCTTTGTGGCAGCACCGCGGAGGGTTTTAAAAGCCCCTTTCGCCTATAGTCGGAGGTCTCCGCGGCTGCCTGAATTACAATGCCTGAAACAGGATTACACTGACCTGATCCTATTAAATGCGCCCATCGCGCCGGGGCCGCCCTCCCTCCGGCCCCGCAGAGCCCCTCGCTGCCCCTGCCCCGCGGCTCCGCAGGCCCCAGGCCCTCACAGCCGTTCCGGAGAGCCCGGAGCACTTGCCTCTTCCCTAGGCCGGCTGCACCAAAACGCTCCTTCGGTGCCCTGAAACCAGCCCTCAAGAGCGGGGTAGCAGGGAGGCGTCTATATAGGTTTATGTAGACACACACATACATTTCTTTTTCCCCAAGCTGACACCTGACACTCTCTAAGAAGTCCCAACTGAGGTGATTGAAACTCCATGTGGTCTGCGTGTGCTTTCCATCATATTAACCTTCTGCTCGTGGTCCTTGCAGAAAACAACAACAACAATTGATACAATCCATTCAGTCAGCAACAACAAAAATGCACGTTTTCCAAAAATACCTCCAAGACAGACCCCTGACACACAGAGGCCAGCCCAGGAGCCTAAAACACTGGGCAGCCCCAAGGAGCTCAGGGCAAAGGGCTGCCCAGCACAACCTCGATGCTGCTCCCCGGACACTCCTCTCTTGGCCACGTGTCAGTCAACACTCCCAAAAGCTGCCAGGATGGCAACGACTCCGTATTTCCAAATGATTTCTACATTGCCGAGAAGCCACTTGGGCTTTTCCGAAGATCCTTATGCCCATAGTCTATTCGTATCCATCAAAACCATTGCCTTCCCGAATTAGGCTAATGGTCATTTTTAAGACACACATCTGTATTTTCTTCCACAGTCGCGCTGCTCCTAAGCTCACACCTGCTATTTCCCCCCCTCCCCAATTATTTCCATATTTCAACATTTCCAAAGCGGCAATAAGTTCCCACGGAGGAAGGGTAATAGGAAACCTCTTTGAGAGAAATTGTTAATTTGGGATCTATAAAGGACTTTTCTTAATGAATAATAGTTGAGCTCGATCTGTCTTCCTGCCTCCTTCTGCAGAGCACCATTTGTAAAGTCAGGTGATCCCAATTACTCCCGCTAACAGACCGCGGGAAATCACGGCCAGACCAGGGCATCCCGGCCCTGGGAATGCCTGTGCTGTATCCCAAGCCCCGGGAAGCAGCCGGTGCCTGGCTTCTCAGGGCCAGGACAGAGAAATGACTTGATTATTGCCCCTAAGTGCCTTCATGGGGAGAAAATCCTGCTCCTGGAGAGCTCTTTAATCAACAGTAGAAAGGCAGTGAGAGAAGCAACGCTGGCAGCTCGAGCTGGGTAGAATCAAAT